ATATATATATATATATATATATATATATATATATACTTTGCTGGTTTTTGTGTTTCTCTAGAGAACCCTATCCAACACACCAGGCAACATCTAGTTCTTCTGATCTCATGGTCATACAGGCTGAGGTTTGCATGGTCCACTAATCCCTTGGACTAATTGTTTCCATGCATCTTCGGTTTTCTTCATTCTTTTTTGCTTTGGATGAGGAGAGACCCCTCATTGCATCTAGATGACAACTTGCAAGCTTTTAAGGCCCCACTGGCTACTCACCAAAGTAGGCTGTAGAACAGTGTTATGCCAATTGAGTTTGAAGTCACCGATGACCATAGTCCTGAGCCCACAGGCATAGCATCTCACTCCTTCAAAGTGTTTGGCTGTGGCTAAGAAGTTAACATAACTTTGCCCTTGTTAGCTCTGTTACATATATGGACATTCTTAGGGCACATACAAATATATATGTAGAAATGTTGTCTGCCACACTTATATATCATGATGAGTATATTATCTTTGCTTACATGTACTTGATCACTTAATCTGTCTACCTATGTAGCTACCCAAAGATTAATGTTTGTTGTTACTGATAATACCATTTTGTGTATGTAAAATTGTTTACCTTTGTTGTCTGTACCTCTTGGGCACTTCTCCATGTCTTCCTTTTCCTTAGTGTTGTGGTGGTCACTTGCTTTTGGTATGTTGTCTTTCCCTTCACCCAAATCAATACTTGTCTCTTACCTATCTAGAAATTTTCTGTCCCATCCCTGATAGCCAACAAAGAAAGTTTCATTCCTTGTGTAAATTTTTCCTTGACATTTTACCATAGTGGGCTCATACAATATTTATCCATCTATGATTGACTTATTTCACTCAACATATCTTCCATAATTTGTTGTGATCCACACAGTTGAATGTGTTTGCATAGTCAATAAAACACAAGTAAACATCTTTCTGGTGTCCTTTGCTTTCAGGCGAGATCCATTTGACATCAGCAGTGTGATCCCTCGTTCCATGTCCTCTTCTGAATCCAGCATGCATTTTTGGCAGTTCCCTGTCAATGTACTGCTGTAACCATTTTTGAATTATCTTTAGCAAGATTTTACTTGCATGTGATATTAATGATATTGTTTGATAATTTCTACATTCTGTGGGATCACCTTTCTTTGGAATGGGTACATATATGGACCTCTTCCAGTCAGTTGGCCATCTTCCAAAACCCTTGGCATAGATGTGTACGTGCCTGCAGCACGGCATCCATTGGTTGAAACGTTTCAATGGGAGTTCCATCAGTTCCTGGAGCCTTGTTTTTTGCCAACTCCTTCAGTGCAGCTTAGACTTCTTCCTTCAATATCATTGGCTCTTGATCATATGCCCCTCCTGAAACAGATGAAGATCAACCAATTCTTCTTGGTACAGTGACTCTGTGTATTCTTTCCATCTTCTTTTGATGCTTCCTGCATCATTCAATATTTTGCCTATAGAATCTTTCAATATTGCAACTTGAAGCTTGAAGTTTTTCTTTAGTTCTTTCAGCTTGAGAAACACTGAATGTGTTCTTCTCTTTTGGTTTTCTAACTCCAGGTCATTGTATGTTTCATTATAATAATTGACTTTGTCTTCTCAAGCTGCTCTTTGAAATCTTCTGTTCAGCTCTTTCATCTTGTCATTTCTTCCATTTGTTTTCGCTACTCTCCATTCAAGGGCAAGTTTCAGAGTCTCTTCTAACATCTGTTTTGGTCTTTTCTTCCTTTCCTGTCTTTCTAATGACCTTTTGCTTTCTTCATGGATGATGTTCTTGATGTCATCCCACAGTTCATCTGGTTATTGGTCATTGGTGATCAATACATCAAATCTGTTCTTTAGATGGTCTCTAAAGTCAGGTGGGATATAATCAATGTCACATTTTGGCTCTTGTGGACTTGTTTTAATTATCTTCAGCTTCAACTTGAACATGCATATAGGCAGTTGATAGTCTGGTTGACTCTGGTTCCAGAGCCAGCTCCTGACCTTGTTGTGGCTGAAAATATCGAGCCTCTCCATTGCCTCTTTGCATAGATGTTGGTGATCTGATTCCTGTGTATTCCCTCTGGCAAAGTCCACATGTATAGCTGCTGTTTATCTTGAAAAAATATATTTGCAGTGAATAAGTCATTGGTACTGCAAAATTCTGTCATGGAATCTCCAGTGTTGTTTCTATCACCAAGACCATATTTTCTGACTACCGGTGATTCTTTGTTTCCAACTTCTGCATTCCAATCACCAGTGATAATCAACACATTTTGATTGCATGCTTGGTCAATTTCAGGATGCAGAAGTTAATAAAAATCTTTAATTTACTCATCTTTGGCTTTGGTGGTTGGTGTGTAAATTTGAATAATAGTAGTATTACCTGGTCTTCCTCGTAGGCGTTTGGGTATTATCCTATCACTGACAGCACTGTACTTCAGGATTGATCTTGAAACATTCTTTGTGATTCTGAATGCCATGCCATTCCTCTTCAATTTGTTATTCCCGGCATAGTAGACTATAAGGTTGTCTGTTTTAAAATGAGCAAAACCAGTCCGTTTCAGCTAACTAATGCCTAGGGTATCAAACTTAATGCATTCCATTTCATTTTTGACAACTTCCAATTTTCCTAGAGTCATACTTTGTACGTTCCATGCTCCGATTATTAACAGACATTTGCAGCTGTTTCTTCCCATTTTGAGTTGTGCCACATCAGCAAATGCAGATCTGAAAGCTTTATTCCATCCACATCATTAAGGTTGGCTCTATTCTGGGGAGGCAGCTCTTCCTCAGTCATGTTTTGAGTGCCTTCTGATCTGGGGGCTTATCTTCCAGCACTATATCAGACAATGTGTCAGGGCTATTCATAAAGTTTTCCAGTAATAAATCAGTGTTTCACTGCTATTCATAAGTTTTTCACTAGCCAATTTTTTGAGAAGTGGATGGCCCCTTCCTTCTTCCAAGTCTGTCTTAGTCGGAAGCTCTGCTGAAACCTGTCCTGGATGACCTTGCTGGTATTTAAAATACTGGTGGCATGGCTTCGAGCCTCATAGCAACACATAAGCCACCACAGTATGACAAACTGACAAACAAGTGGTGGATTTCTAATTTAGCATGTTTTAAAACTTTCCATGACACTGAGTTTTCTAACATCTTAATTTTAAATAGATCAACTTAAAATTATGGCAAATTAAGCTGATGGTTTCAGTTAGGTGTTACGGAAATTAAATTTAGCTTTACTGGTTGTATTATGAAACAAATATTCAAATGCATATGTTCCTATTTTTAGATATCAGTTTTAAAGATGTATTAATTTTTAGTTGAAATGTTTGATGTGAGTTGTTGGAATTATTTTTCATTTCCAGCTTTGAATTTTTAACATAACTTAAAATTTTCTCAATTTTTAGTTGACAATATAGTCATTAAAATACATTTATTTTTTCTTTTTAATCTTAGGAAAAACCTATTCAAGGGGAGGAGACTTAATATTTTTGATACTAAAGCTACTGAAGAGGGATCTGAAACAGGTTTGTTAAGAAAAGCATAATCATATTTTTCGAATGCAGAAACCTTTTAAAGATGTCCTTAGTGATTTGATTGCATAGTAGTTGGGTATTTTAGTATTCTGTCCTGTCATTGGCCCGGAATGCTAGTGAATGGAATCTTTAACACTGCTAGTCTTGGTTAGATTTCCCCTTTGCACTATTGCATTCTATGAAGCAATGAGAAGTAAATACCACTAGCTACCTGAATCAAGAGCTATAGATTAGTTACTAATTTGGATTCCAAAAACCAAACTCACTGCCATCGAGTCGATTCCAACTCACAGTGATGATTCTCATTGGGTTTCCAAGGCAGTAAATCTTTACAAAAGTAGATTGCCCCATCTTCTTTCTGTGGAGTGGCTGGTGGACTTGAACTGCCATCTTTCTGGTTAGCAGTGAGATGCCTTAGGCACCACACCACCAGAGCTTCTTAGTCTTTATAGAAGTAGATTGAGTCATCTTCTTCCCCAGGAGTGGCTGGTGAGTTTGAGCTGTCAACCTTCTGGTTAGCAGACAAATGCCTTATGCACTGCACAAGCATTAATAATTACTTAACAATTGCAGTGCCTCCTGTGTTATACATAGATAAATAAGCTGTGGTTCCTGCCCTTAGGCATTTTACTGTCTAGAGGAACTTATTGCTATTGACTTATAATGACCCTTTAGGACAGAGTAGAGCTGCCTCAGGATTTCCAAACTAAATATTTGGGGAAGAAGACTGCCACATCTTTCTTCTGCAGAGCAGCTGGTGAATTTGAACTGCCAACCTTTTGGTTAGCACTGAACACGTTAAAGCAGCCAAGCACTTTAGCTAATGCATTACCAAGGCTGCTTATGTAGAAGAAGAGATCACATATATAAACCAAAAAAAAAAAAAACCAAACTCACTGCTATCAAGTTGATTCCAATTCATAGCAACCCCCTTTGGGTTTCCAAAGCGGTAACCTTTATGGAAGTAGATTGCTCAGTCTTCCTTCCATGGAGTGGCTGGTGGGTTTGAACCACCAACCTTCTGGTTAGCATTCCAATGCCTTAGGCATTACACCACCAGAGCTCCTTCCCACATATGTAGAAGTGCCTTCAAGTCAGTTCTGACTCAAGGTGACCCTGTGTGTGCAGAGTAGAATTGCACTCCAAAGAGTTTTCCAGGCTGTAACCTTTCAGAAGCAGATCACCAGGCCTTCTAAGGTGCCTCTGGGTGAGTTCAAACAACTAGCCTTCTGTCCGTAGACAAACTCTTAACATTTGCACTACCCAGGGACTCTAGAAATAACTTACTAGATATGACTTAGTGATTTTTTAGCAGATGGGGGAAAAACATATGAGGAATATATTTAGCCAACTTAAAGTCGTTTTTTTCCTTAACATAAATATGGTTATTTTTAATTCTTTACTCTTCCCTTTTTCTTTGGGTAAGAGGTCAAATCCTTCAAATTCATAGTTTTAAGACTAATTAAAAGAAATAAGAGTGTCTGCTTGCTTTACATTAAATTTTGTTTGCTGGTAAGTTAAAATAAATGAAGGAACTCAATAGAGATGGTCTTCTGCTTACAAGTGACTTGCATTCCTAAAGACTGTAAATTAGCTTTTTGGACAGTGGTTGAAACCATTTTATATATGGTACTTAGGTTCCTAGGCCAACCTCCCATTGCTTATTTAATCCTAGAAGTTACTTACATAAACACATTAGGTAGGCCAACATACTTAATATCCACCAGTCATCGTGTGATCAGGCATCTTCATGTACATAAAGGCTCAGAGAAACAGAATCAAACCAAAGAAGATAAAATAGGTGGGCTTGGTAAAGATGGATAAAGAGGTACGTAAGAGACTAAATCATACATGATCTATACCTTTGACTCAGAAATTTCATTCCTAGAAATTTATTTTAAGGAAATATTCACCAATATCCACAAAAGTGTAACTACAAGGATTATTCATCATTATTGTTGTTGTTGTTATTAAGTGCCGTCGAGTCGTTTCCGACTCATAGCGACCCCATGCACAGCAGAACGAAACACTGCCCAATCCCGCGCCAGCCCCACAATCCCTGCTATACTTGAGACCATCACTGCAGTACACTACATACAGTGTGTACTTTGCTGATATCATTTATCATTCTCGGATGTTCACTCTCAGATGTTGATTGTTCTGATTTACTCTTCAAAAGACTGCCATATGGCAGGCAATGGCAATTATGAGGAAAACTTATAACAAAAAAGAAGTATTTGACTTATGTCAGAACCGACTTATGATCTGAGTCAAGGACTACCTGTATATGGTTGTACCACATTTTGTATTCCTTCACCTGTTGGAAGACATTTGAGTTGTTTCCAGTTTTTGGCTGTTACAAATAAAACTGATATGAACGTCTGTGGTGGAGCCACTGAGGTAAGGGCAGCCAGGAAAGTGAGCCAGGGCAGCAGAGCAGAGCTGCTGAGGTAAGGGCAGCCAGGAAAGGGAGCTGGGTGGCAGGGTAGAGCCATTAAGGAAGGCCAGGAAGTGAGCGGTTTGGTTTGGAACAGTCAAGGGAAACAAATTTGTATGTCAGTTTGTCATGCTGGGGTGGCTTGCTTACTGCTGTGAGGCTGGAGGCTATGCCACCGGTATTTCAAATGGCAACAGGGTTACCCGTGATGGAAAAGTTTCAGCGGAAATTCCATACTAAGCCAGACTCGGAAGAAGGTGGAGGCCATTCACTTCTCAAATAATTGGCCAGTGAAAACCTTATGAATAGCTGTGAAACACTGTCTGATGTATTACTGGAAAACTTTATGAATAGCCCTGAAACATTATCTGATACATTGCTGGAAGATGAGCCCCTCAGGTTAGAAGGCACTCAAAATATGACTGGGAAAGAGCTCCCTCCTCAGATTAGAGCTGAATTTTGGATGTGGATGGAGTAAAGCTTTCAGGACCTCCATTTGCTGATGCGGCACAACTCAAATGGAAAAGAAACAGCTGTAAGCATCCATTAATAATTGGGACATGGAATGTACAAAGTATGAGTCTAGGAAAATTGGAAGTTGTCAAAAATGAAATGGAATGCATTAAGTTTGATACCCTAGGCATTCGTTAGCTGAAATGGACTGGTTTTGGCCATTTTGAATCAGACAACTATATGATATACTATGCTGGGAATGACAAATTGAAGAGGAATTGTGTGGCATTCATCATCACAAAGAATGTTTCAAAATCAATCCTGAAGTACAATGCTGTCAGTAATAGGATAATATCCATAGCCTACAAGGAAGACCAGGTAATACTACTATTACTCAAATTCACACACCAACCACCAAAGACAAAGATGAGGAAATTGAAGACTTTTATTAACTTCTGCATTGTGAAATTGACCGAGCATGCAATCAAGATGTGTTGATTATCACTGGTGATTGGAATGCAAAAGGTGCAAAGAGAAGAATCACTGGTAGTTGGAAAATATGGTCTTGGTGAAAGAAACAACACTGGAGATTGAATGATAGAATTTTGCAGGACCAACAACACATTCATTGCAAATATATTTTTTCAACAACATAAATGGTTATACATGTGGACTTACCAGATGGAGCACACAGGAATCAGATCGCCTACATCTGTGGCAGGAGGCAATGGAGAAGCTCTGTATCTTCAGCCACAACAAGGCCAGGAGCTGATTGTGGAACAGACCATCGACTGCTCGTATGCATGTTCAAGTTGAAGCTAAAGACAATTAAAACAAGTCCAAGATTACACCTCAATATAAAGAAAACACAAATCCTCACAACTGGACCAATAAGAGCATCACGATAGATGGAGAAAGGATTGAAGTTGTCAAAGACTTCATATTACTTGGTTCTACAATCAATGCCAATGGAAGCAGCGGTCAGGACATCAAAAGACGTATTGGGCAAATCTGCTGAAAAAGACCTTTCAAGTGTTGAAAAGGAAAGATGTCTCCTTGAAGACTAAGGTGCTCCTGACCCAAGCTGTGGTATTTTCAATCACCTCATATGCCTGTACCAAACAGTGTTTCTTTGCTATTCATAAGGTTTTCCCTGGCCAATTCTTT